ATTTTATTATTACTTTACATTTTTAAGTTTAAGTGTGTGAATACCAACCACCAATTAGCACTAATTCAATTAAATACTCAAATAGAAAAAATATTGAATATATAACCAACTGGTTAAACAATTAATAAGAGGAAATCAGTCATAGTGATTAGAGCAGACCAGTCCCTACAAGCAGTTTAAGTTTCTATCTCTAGAGAAACTCTAAATGTAAAACACTGCTTTTTTATTTCAGGTGCGGCATCGGTTGCTAGAGCATGGTCTGTGTATTTAGATACGATGCTGGACGGTGCAATTAGCAACGCTACGATTTCTATTACAGGAGAATTACATGAAACATTATTCAGCACCTATCCAGACATTCTTGCATTTCTCATATGCATAGTAGCTTCTTTAATCCTTGCGGTTGGGGTGAAAACATCTGCTTACATCAACAACGGCCTAACGATTCTAAACTGTTTAGTTATATCTCTTGTTATATTCCTTGGGTTTTATTACGCTGATCTTGACAATTGGTCTGAAAAGAATGGTGGTCTTATGCCTTATGGATTCAGTGGGGTGTTAGCCGGGGCTGCAACTTGCTTTTACGCATTCGTCGGATTCGACAGTATTTCAGCATCAAGCGAGGAGGCCAAAGATCCGTCACGATCTATTCCCATCGCAACTTTGTTGTCTATAGCTTTTGTATCTTTTGGATACATTCTTGTCGCGATTGCTTTAACATTGATGGTACCGTACACTAGTATAAATCGTGAAGCGGCACTGCCGGCTGCTCTTGGTGCCGTGCATGCCGACTGGGCTAAATATGCAGTTGCAGTCGGTGCCGTATGTGGAATGACGACAACTTTACTGGGTTCCTTATTCTCTCTACCTCGTTGTTTATATGCTATGTCAGTAGACGGATTACTATTTGGTTTTCTAAGTGACGTTAATAATAAATCACAAATACCTATTTCGAATCTTATTATATCCGGATTATCATCTGCATTAATTGCTTTATTATTCGATTTAAACAAGTTAATTGAGTTTATGTCAATTGGAACACTGTTAGCCTACACAATTGTTAGTGCAGCAGTAATTATATTGAGATATCGGCCAATACCCTCTGTTGATGATAAAAGCTTCGGTGCTCCTCAATTAGAATCTCCTTGGGACCGAGAAGACAGCTCAGCAACTGGCACTCCAGTGACTGATGGAGGCTCTTCTTCTTCTGAGGTACTAAAAGAAAATTTATCTACATAATTATACTTACTGTACATAATTTGGTATAATATATCTGGAATACCAAATCAGGTGAAAGAATTTGCTACATTTTTTTCGAACCGAAATAGGGAAACTATGGGAAAAGCTTAGATAGGTTTGTCCTATATGTGTGTTATACGTGAGTAAAAACCATATCGAATGCAAAAAACAATTGTCCGACTTCGTTCTGTTTTGAGGAAGATTTCAAGTAACATACAGACAAATGAAGATGACTGAAACGATAACGTCTTTGGCCGTACATCCATATACATAGTATCTTTTCTTGTAATTATTTTTTATTTACGGTTCATGATGTTATTCTTTTCTTCTTCTAAATTTGTACCGGCGTCGTTTCAGATGTTTGAAGCTCTTACAGTCGGTCGACTGCGACCGCAGTACGCGTGGTTGGAGCCTCTGGTAGGAGGGAGAGCCCCAGGTGCCGCTGTGACTGGCTGCGTGTATACATTCACCGTAGCCGCTGCCGCACTTTGTGCCCATGAACACTTCTTGTCAGGACCGGCTGGTCTCTGGGCATTACTTCCAGATATCGTTCTCACTTCAATTATGCTTGCTTGTAAGTTTTTGAGTTAATAGTATTGATAAATTAAAGTGTATACTCGTATATATATTATAGCGACCGTAATTAGGAAGTAACGTAGGACTATTTCACTGTTTCAGGTTTGCTGATAATCAAGGCCCATCAGCAAAGCCCGACTCGTTTGCCGTTCCGAGTGCCCTGGGTGCCATTCATACCGGCCATCAGTGTAGTGATGAACCTAATGCTTATGATTAATCTTAAGGCACTCACATGGGCAAGATTCGCTATATGGATGACTTTTGGTAAGTTCTTGCTTTTGTTTGATTCTATCACACTATGAACACATTAAATAACAAGGAAATCCACATATCATCTATATATATCTGGCGAAAATTTAATGAACTACAGCAAATCAGAACATCTTTTTAGAATTATTTTCATATATCGATTTAAAAGATAAATAAGTATTAAATTAGGTTTACAATTAGTGGATATCGCGTAAACACTCATGTAGGTCATTTTTATTACTCTCGTGAACGGATGGGGATTGGACTATTTGCTTTAGAAATAGCATATGCTAGTGGGCACTCTATACTCCCAAATTTGAATTTAAAAATGAATCTGTACTATTGTAAACATGTACAACGTTTATTTGAAAAGAATACGAGCTCAGTTTGTTGTCAGTTCTCATCTCGAAATCATTCCGAACTTACGGTAGATTTAACATGTCATAAGATTCTGTAATAGACCTACATGAATAAAGATATTTTAATTAACAGACGAAAACAGCTTTACATTACATTACTTTATTTTCATTTGCAGGTCTACTTCTGTATTTCCTTTATGGGATACATCACAGTAAACTAGGCGAGGGAGTGGGACTGTTGTCGCGATCAGCTAGCGGCGGCGGTAACAGTGGTGGCTGGGGCGCTGTCGAGAAGACGAGTGCTCTAGCACGCCGTGTCGCGCGACTCGGTCGCGGCAGCAAGAGTGACGACCGGAAACCGATTATATGTGACGACGATAGCACCCGCCGGGAACCGTGATTCTAATTGCATAGAGGGTTTTATGTTGCATCTAACGATGAACCATTACAAGTTCACACTATAGTGGAGAAGATATATTTGTGTATATTCGCCCATGATTGCCTATTCAACAATGACTTGCAGTGAGAAGGTTTTTCGACACATCTTTTATTTCAAGATAATTTATAGATGTTATGATAATACACGCGATCGTACGTTGGTCCAACAAACATTGGCCGGTAATGTACACATTTATAAAACTACTAATTCATGTTAAACTGTATATGAATAATGAATCGGTTTATTATTTGTAATTACAAATAAAATAAATAGAGATGTACGGTGGCATTGATTTGAATACACGCTAAATTAATTAAAATGTACGTATACATTATATACAACGCCTGCCTTAATTGTGCCAATCATGAATATTCATGAGATAGGCTATCATGGGCGCTTAGGAGTCATCACACTTACAATACGTTTATCACTTTGATGTATCTAGATCTCACTTTTTCACAAAACCACAATTTCGGTTAATATATACGTCTATTTACTGTAAGCTCATATTTATCTGTGGAACTAGGGCTGGCTGTTCATTATCATTGTAATATAATTGGTAATTGGTTCGTTACTGTGTAAGCAGAGAGTACCGAGTGCCAAAGAACTCTATTCTTACTCTAGTTTTATAATTTCCATTGTTATAATTTTATATTTTTGTGGCTTTTTACATGATAGTCTGTAATCAATATAAGTAGGATTATTTTCCATTTTTTAAGTAACAGTCAGTTGGCCTGTCTTTCCAATTGAAACCAACTAACCTTTTCAGTAAAATTAAAAACTAGCGTACTATTATAAATTCTAGCGTACGTTTTGTATAATTGGACACGACTAAAAGTTTTTTATTTGACGATTTTAGTTGTATATAATAAGCTTATATACCTAATTTGCAATTAATACTATAATTAGCACTAGAGATATTAGAGTCATAATTAACGCGGAAAATAAAAATATAAAATTTATTTCCTAAGAGCACTCTGATGTTTAATAAATGTACAAATGAATTAGCGTGAATTCACAAAAATAGAAAGAGTATTTATCTATACACATAATAAAAATCTAATTAGTTGCTGTTTGTAGATGGAAGATATAAGAGAAAAACTATTATTGAGAGATTATATAAAAGTAATAGAAACAATTGCTTAGGATTTTTTGTCTGTGTCGTTAGTGTGCACAAATCTCATAAACGTAAGCCGATTTAAGGTGCAATTTCACTAATGTATTGTGTTAAGTTCCAATAAAAAATTTAGGTTCGTTTTAATTCAAACAGTTAATAAACACAAATGTATGAAATCTCGGGCTCAACTAGAAAATTATATAAATGATGTAGATTATTTATCACATACAATATATTTGTATCATAAAAAAAAGATATACTCATTTTTACAAAAATTAAAACTGACACCAACTCGTTTTAACTATAGAAACTGGAAAAGGCGTAAGTGTTAAAATTGTTTTATCTTCCATTGGATGCCTGTAACTTGGTAGTAAGCTCAAAATACAACTTGAATTTCGAGTAGTTAAATTGTAATTTGTAGTGTGTATATCAAAATCTAAAAAAGGTATTACCGATTTATTGATGAAAACAGCATTAGAATATTTTATAAAACTTATATGAAACCTTTAAGGAAACCCACTTTTTTGAAAACTCAAGTGGATACTCCTCTTGAGTATTCACTTTATTTGTCACCACCGCAATCACCGACCGCTATCCCCCTACACTGAACTAAATAGATATGTGAAAATATCTAATTTCATAAGTACCACAGTGCATGTTTGTGTAATGGTCAATTATATTAATACTTGTAAATTAATGTTTTTAAAGGAGATAACAACACATTTGTTTGTGTAGTCCAATATTTTAAATAAAAAATGCTTGTATTATTTAAAATAATTTAATCGTAACGTAATGCTATTTATTGTTTTTGACGGGTAATGCGACATGAAAACTTTAGATTGAAGCAATAAGGTAAATTCACGTAGGAATTATTTTATTCGCGAATTCTGCAAGTTACAACTAAATCTTAATGGTCTTAGAAATGTCTTAACAAGAGTACACTAAACAAAATTGGAGGTCTGGTCGGAGGAATGAGAATACGGTCATTTAGGTTTAAATCTAACTACATCAGTTATAAGGTCTTTCTTTGTTTGTCTTTTGTTGGGGGTTTGACTCTCTATTCTCCCAAGAAGCAAAAGCGCTAAAGCTCCAAAGCAACAATTCATTAAAAATGTAATTAAAACCAATATTTGGGATCGATAAAATATTGATTGTATATTTATAAAATATTATATAATACATAATTTAGATTTATGTCACAAGATATTATTATATTTATGTTAATAGCTTTAATGTTGAGCACAAACATATTATAGCTAGTTTGTTTTAACGTAACAGTTCATGTACACTGGTTCTTTTAAATTATTGTTCTTCCAATCAAATCTAATTTACAAATACTTCATTTAGATTTGTTTAATATTTTGGTTGTTTAAAATTGTTCAAATTATATAAACGGGATATTTACCATGATAATATTATATTATTTATACCTTCCGATATTTCAACGCCGTTAAGAATGTCCTGGTCATAGTCGACCACTCGTCCTGTGAGCAGTACATATCCCGTTTTTATAAAGTATTATAATGTTAATTACTTTTAATTATCCAAAATATATATTGGCAAATGTATTTGACAGGTCGTTAATGTTGGTAATTTATACATACACGAATGTTTATTTAAAAAATATAATTAGATTCGTGTACTAAGAGCAGGATTAAAATGTCTATAGAAAAATTCTAAGGCATTGTTGTGTATTTAATTATACATATATTTAAAATATTGATGTGTACATAAAGAAATTATTCTGACATTGTTGTCTTATTCCCTGCTTTTTGACAAATGTGTATAATTATAAATAAATTATATTACATAAAAACACAAATTTGTACTCCATAACATACGTAAAATATAATTCAGTCATAATAAACAACACAACATTGTAAACAATAAAATTATACGGATTACCTATACTAAATATTAATCAACAAAATCTCACAACACCACACATCTACTAAGACCATAGAAAAAAAGGAAACGTGTAGCAAAAAATATTCGATACAACTCCAGGTGATAGTATATTATACTACCTGAGATTTTATTGATACTGTATTATTCATATTATTAATATTATAAATGAGAAAGTGTTCTGTTTGTTACATTTTCATGACTAATGGTCAGTCATTAATGGATCTTAATAATATTTAAAAATAGATTATATAACCAGGACGGACATAAGACATTTTATATTAAAAAAAAAAACGGATAAAGTCACGGATGACGTATTTTTATAAATTTTATTGATATATACTGTGACGTCTTCTTTTTTTATAGTCTAAGAACACATAATATGACTGTATCTAATAAGACAAATCATCAAAAGTAGTCACACACTTATTTCTATTACTGTCTACACAATCAACTGAGAGAAAAACATGGAATGGTTCATAAGTTTATCAGAATTGTTTCATTTTATACATATTTACATAAATATACAAATGTATATAACTAAGTATACTGAATTATCTTGCGAAAATTAAACTATCTGCAAGGTTTCATTGACGCTGTATTTTTTATATTAGCATATTCCAATTTAAAAGTAATGTATACCTTTCAGTCTTATCTGTCGAACCTACTAATCTGCCAGGCGGTCGCCGGTAGTCGTTGTAGTCGGTTGATTGTTGGTCGTCCCCATTGTAACCACACGAAGCCAAGCACTAGACAAATCACAGTCTCTATGTAGAAACCATCTATTCTAATGTCGCACGAGCCGCCTTTTGATTTACAAAGCTGGAAGTGAAATGTAACTGACATAACATTTGAATATATACTTAATAATTTTTTACCCGGCAATGATTACATAAATACAATTAGTGTAGCGTAAGTGTGCTCTCAGGCGCACTAAACAAGACGGATGGTGAGGAATAACATTTAAAGCAAAAGTTACTAGATATCTTAGGGTATATTGATTGACTGACAAATACAAGTAATTGAAATTTAAAATAACAATTTTATTACAAAACTACTACTTTGAACAATACTATATGTATTATATATGATCACAATGTAGTATTAAAATATTGAAAGACTGGTTTCACTTTGATGCATGCCTGTGTCTTGGAATATAGGACTAAAATCTTTGGTCTAATATAGGCTTTCTTTATTCATAGTTGGCAAAAACATTTCAAAGGAGAATAATTTTATCTTAAGTAGATATGTCTGTACAAGAAACTTACCTCTGTTTCCAATTTCGTTGAACAAGTATTATCACTTAGTTCTGATAATGAACAGGACCTAAAAGTTAAGTGGTCTATGGCCCAAAGTGCAAGTGTGTTGGGCCAGTTGGTGCCAAGATTGGACACAGTGTTTAGTAAGGTCATGTAGGTCCCACCGACTGCCGGATCCGATACTTTTGCAAAAAATGCCATTACGGCCACAAACATACAATATAAACATGTCTGAAACAAAAATAATAACATCATTGAATTTTTTCTCAAAAGCAATTGGATAACATCATTACAAAACTATGAGAGATGGCAATTAAAAATTCAGTTCCTATCTACATATTTCATAGAAACTTTGAATTATTTATTGGTAAGTTATAATATCAAGTAAACCTTAGTTTTTCGAAACCAGGGATGTGTTTGAAATTGATTAACACTCATCTTCTTTCTATAATTACAGAAAATTTACTCATTTGTGTTTATAAAGTATTGGTTATGCATTTAGGTAGGTGTAGGTAGGTTTAAAGCTATAGTTATATAGTTCGAAGTTACAATGTCCTCCGATACAAGTTGCGACCAGTGTTTAATGTAAATTAAATTAATATTTTTATATGACTTGAGTCATTAAAGAAAACGTAAAATACCCGTATTAATACAGATATTTTACATTTTTCTTTAATATCGTAATAATGTTTGTCAATTAATTTATAAATTATAAAAAATGTGCTAACGATTCCATTTTCGTGAGGAAAATTAAAATGTAATCTTCCAATGTAGGTACTATATATTCCAAATTATACTTTTATATAAACTAACACAATCCTAGTTAGATAAAGTTAATGTGACTAACCTGATGGAAAACATATAACATCATCAAAATAAACAGATAGGAGTACGTAGGACCAGAATTTCCAAGTAGACTCGGCGTGATAGCGACTAGAGCCGCAGCCAGCGGCCCCACTAGCAACCGAAGAGGAAAGGCTCGGAGCCACAGGGACAGTGGGACCGGACCAGTGGTGTGTTTCGCAAGGATCTGAATTGAATAATGACAATATGTAATTATATATTTCAAAATACTACAAAGAATGTGTCACACATATGTACATAACAAGTGAAAAAACAAAATTGTTGTAATATTTATAATGATAGAATTGCATAGAAATGAGTATTGAAATGTTAGCAAATATAGATAATTTTATTAAAGATTCTTTCCATTATTATACTGCTATTCCAATGCTGAATGCTGTAATTACAGATTACTGGGATAATCATTTGAGTTTGTAATTACATTAAGTAAAATTAGAGAACATCAAAATTTAGAGACCAAATTCAGAATTTATAATAGAGAAATATATCTAATAAAATTTGTTAGATTGAAAATCGGAGCAGCATCTTGTAGTTACCCCGCAAAACGAAATACAATTATATTACGACTCGTGTCTGTGGTAATAGAATTATGACATCACCACGTTAGCCATTGGTAAAGTAATATAAGTATTTCACTACAAAATATAAGAGACGTGTCTCTATAATTATACTTTTACGAAGTTTTAAACAGGTAGCAAAAGAAGATATAGCTTTAATAATAATGAATTACATGTCTATGTACATACCACAGGCATTATAATTTGAACGGGAACTAAAGGTACTGCAAGTAAAGCCAAATCTTCACGTGGTACTCCAGCTTCAACCAACTTCAATCCGGAGACTGCATCACTAGCACAGAAACCAAGCTGTTAACGAAAAGAATAAACTTATTTATCATTTGTGTCAGATTTAAAGTAGAAATTGCTATAATAGCTTTATAAATTGTTAAAATATAAATTTACTTAAACTCAAACATCCCAAGTATATTTTCACAGGATATATAACTATGAGTGAATGTACTTTTCACTAAGCTCTACATCTAATTGTGACTGTTTTTTAAGATTATGCTCTGGACTCTTCTGTTCAATAAATAATTTAAAAAATATATATATATTTACCTTGGCTGTAAATAAAACCAAAGCCAATGTTCGGACAGCTGGCAATTTCACAATAGTATATAGTTGTTTGTAGGCATTGACTATATCACTAATGCCTTTTACTTCATTCTCTTTAGTATTGGCCATATCATTTGCTTCGTGTTTTAACAATGCAATGAATGTTGTTGTTATTATAAACATCCAGCCCCAAAAAAATAGAAAGCTAGACAGTGTGACAAGACCATGATCCAGTGGTTCTGCACGTAGATATTTATTGCAAAAGTATGGAGATTCGAGAGCTAAGAACAATACATAGCCAAGGAAGAAGCCAGCTGTCTGTCCAACTGTATTGCAAGTAGATGCATGTCCAACATTACATCTGAAATTGTTTATATATTAAAATTTTTACAAAATACAAACTTCTTTTTAACTAGTGGTGTATGGAACTCAAAATTATTTGAATAAATAGTGAATCTTTTAGAATTTTATACATTTCTGCAGTTTTGGAAATAGTGAAAATATAGTACAGAAGATTTACAGCTTTCATCCTAGTTTTTGGAAAGCAAATGTATGAGGAGCACCACAAACAACAGGTGGTCTATGCAGTTCATATATACAGGCGAGAGTTTCCACTTTCCATCAGATGAACCATCTAATTATTTGATATACTAGTTATATAAAAAAATCTGATTAAAACATATTTGTCATGATCATTATATGAAGATAAAGATAAGACACTTAATATCTATTGCCCTTGATACATATGAACATAAACTATGAACACTAAAAGTGTAACTAGGATAATAAAATGTTTAGCATGTTATTACTATTACATTTCTTTTCTTTAATATACTTAACTCCTATTTTACTTGTTTATATATATATATATATATATATTGTAATAATAATTAGTAGAAAATATACCTTTTAAGCATTGTAAGGGCCCAGCCATCAACAGCAATATCTTGAGTGGCAGCCAAAAAATTGAGAAATAAGAATGATATTGTAAGGATCATCATTGATGGTGCTTGACTTTCTGATCCCAACCAATCTGTTACACTCCCGGACATAATTATCATCACAATCCCAATTAAATACTGTACAGGAACAAGCCATGTTTTACGTCTACCGAATTTAGGCCAGAACAGGGCATCTACAATAGGTGCCCATAATAGTTTTACACTGAATGGCCAATTAACAAAGCTAAACTCTGCCTGAAAAAAAAAAAGAATTCCAATCATTGTTTCATATTTCTTAATTTAGAGAGTATTGTGGCAAGATACTGTACTGTAACTGTGAGAAAGTTCTTTTACCTTATTCCATTATTTCAAATGGATATATTGGTACACAGTATGATCAATTATTATCCATTTTGGTTGCACTAATATATTAGGTACTTATATTTAAATGTTAATTAAAAAATTTAAATGGTATTTGATAAATATTTTTTTTTATATATTTGTTTTCTTCTTTAAATATTAATTACAATAGGTTCAGTAATTATAACACAAATATATCTGTAATAAACAGTATTATTTCAAATTTAATGCCATAAAACAACTTTACCTGTTGAGTATATGTTATGCCTCTATTTTGTAGCAACATAGGCACAGCTCCAGCTAGACCCAAAGGAATGCCTTGGAGAGTATACAGAAATAATAAAACTGCAATATTTAATTCATCTCCTTTGATATTACTACTGCCAACTACGTTAACAGCGTCTCCAATTTCTAGTAATTCTTCTTTCTCGTCTGAACGTTTACGTTTGGAGACGGCCATAATAATTGCTTTCAACGCCTAAAATGTTAATGGATATTGAGAGATTATTGAAAGAAACACCTGCCAACCCAACAAATACACGTCAGTTATATTACCCGTTTACCTTAATTTTAATGGATTTATAAAAATTAGTATATATAGTATAATGAGATATTATTTAATTGATTTCTATTCATATGTTGTTTAAGAGATACTGACGTATTTTTCAGTTTTAGTAGTTGTAAAATACAAAATTACTAAAATACGTAAATATTTAAACAAAACTAAAGAAAGACAAGACAACATTGAAATCTGGCCATTCGCTTAGCTTTGATAACTTTGACATTTGAATGTTATTGCCATGTATGTGAACATCTGTTTGTATTGTCAACAACTTAATAATTTCATACCTAATTTATTAATATATTTGAAAAATATAATATTTTTGGACAATAAATATATTTTAGTTATTACTTTAAAAAATATAATATATTTTTTAAAGTTTTTAGTTTAAAAAAGTAAAGTAAGTAATAAATATTAATATATTTCATATATATACTTTTTTTTACATATTCGTCCATCTCCTTTTCAATGATGGAACAGGCAAATATATATATATATACACTAGCTGTCCCGGCAAACGTTGTTTTGCCTTAAAATAAAAAAAAAAAATTAGGGGTGGACTACCCCTAACATTTAGGGGGATGAAAAATAGATGTTGGCCTATTCTCAGACCTACTCAATACGCTCACAAAATTGTATGAGAATCGGTCAAGCCGTTACGGAGGAGTATGGGAACGAAAACTGTGACACGAAAATTTTGTATATAAGATAGATTCATTTTTTTCACTAGACCACGGAGGCTATTGATATGGAGAGAGACCGTAAAAATAAAGTCAGAAAGATCGAAACAGGCGAAAATGTCATTATGATAATAACGTATTTCGTATATATATGTAAATAAGAATACATTCTTGACTTAACTTAATTTTAACAGAATTAATCAATATTTGCACAAAAGTCTTGTATCCACTCTCTGGAATAAATAAAAAATTAAAGTTGCCATTGACGATAACAGTTGATAGTCTGTTTATTTATGAGATCTTTCATTTACGTTTTGAATCACATTGTTTTATTTTCATTTGTTATTATATATGCGTATTCATGTAATAAAAAAATAATGTATACATTAACAACTAATTAATAAATCGTACGAGTAAGTACGAAATTTAATAATTTCTATAATATTTCCTTACCTAAATAGATTATTCAAGTGTAAGCAAATGGAAATTAATCTGTTGTAAAAATGAGCCGCCAATGTTTCCTGAGATGTCTGCTAGATTTACATGCGCCCATAAACTTGTCTCATCAAGTTGAAACGGTTGTAGGCCGTAGCAAGATTACTAAAATAAAAGATCAGTCCTGTTCCCGTCAGCAACGTAAGTTCATAAATCATTGTGATAAGGTAATGTAAGACGGCTAAAATTATTACATTTAGTCCTAACATACCATGCCAACAATGTTACCTTCTGGTGCATTGGTTGCCTTACACCACCTTCTTTAAAAAAGCGCCAATAGAATTGCGTTGTGCGCCAAATGCGAAATGATGCCATAATTTCTTTGGACTGAATGTAATAATATGAGAGTAGTCTAAGATTATCACTCAAAATGTAATGTCTGATGGGTAGAAATGTCTTTTATTGTATATATATGTTAGCATATTGGGATATAAGTTGGTTCCTATAATATAGTAGAATAGCTGTATAAATATATTTAGTTTGCTATTCCAATATTGCATGACTATGGTCCATCCATTGCAGTTGGTCATCCTAGTGTTGTAGACTAAATTGAAAAATGAGCTCTTTTATCATATATTAATTACAATTAGAAAGTATCTTTTTTACAATGAAACATTTATTAATAATATTTCTTTATTACATTACAGTTAGTTTAAAAGCAGATTGTTATAATTGCTTAGTTGAAATCAAACAGTTGGGAGTCAATTCTTCAGGTTTGGACGGATTTGCTTTAAAAAGGAATGAGGTTTATAGAGTTGGCCATGGTTCTAGAATTGAAATTTTATTGAACAGTTATATTCATATTATTGAGTT